GCAAGGTCATGCAAATAAAACGAAAATTTCCAGATTTCAGCTTGTTGAGTTGCGGCACAAAGTTTTTCGTCATTTGTCACTCCCATTGTCATGCTACACAGCAGATGCTAAACACTTTAGGTTAGATCGCCTGTGTTTCATTGGAACTCAAAATTAGCCTAAAACTCTGCATCCACTTTTAGTCTGGATGGCTAAACTTGCTGCGTTTTAGCAGCGTGCTCCCACAGCAGCCACACTTTTATGAAGCAAGTGATTTGCTTTTCAGTGATGTAAGTGAAGTATTATTTCACACTTCACACAGCTGAGCTCTCATGCAGTAGTGTTTTAGTTTTGTATAGTGATGTATTTACTTATTTCCTCTTTGTTTCATATTTCACAAAACAGTTTTGCCGGTACCACGCCGAATAGTATGGCTGGTGTGTTGAAATGATCATTGCTGTCCTAAGTTGACTATATACTGTCATATGCAATATGTGATATTGTAAGAGAAAATAAGTACATGTGCTCAACAGAGAACACACTTCTGCTGGTTATTTGATGAATTGAACATATTGGGAGAATATCAGTAAAAATTGAAACTGTGCACTAAAATATACAGAAAAATGCCATATTTAAGTTGTAGAGGATGCTATTTTCACCTAATATATTTATATATATATATATATATATAATTTGACTGGGGTTATTCAAACTTTTGCATATGACTGCATATAAACACACTTGTGGACAACAGAAAGCACTGTTTATAAAACCATGACAAATGCAATCAAATAAACCAATGCTGAATAAATAATTTTTTGTTATTAATAAGAATCTCGGTAGACCTTTCCGCTAAGCAGTATCGCACATTACCAGTAGGCTACAGTTGGCAAGCAACATAAGTCAAAGATCAATAACTTGGCATTAATACTGAATTCGATTGATGTGTGAGATCATATGTATATGGAGCATTTTACAAAACCTTCAAATTTGGCTCATAAATCAGATTTTCAAACTGGAAATATCCATTTTATAATACTCCTTGAAATGAATCCATCCTTCCTGGGAGGAAGTAAATAGCACTGTTTCTCTAAAACAATAAAACACACAGGGCCAGAAGTCCTGTCACTAGTAAAAGGTGACATTCTGTGCTTTTTCTTCATATCTGCATTTTCATCTTTAATTCAGACTGCTTGAGCATACAGCGGTGTCCTTGGCTTGGTGTATGCCTTGATAACACCTTGTCATTTAAAAACTGCATCATCAATATTCAGGTGAAAGTTAAATAAAGGTGGTTGGATACTAGTGCGCTGTCTTTTGCCCTGGCTACCAGACACAAATGATAGATACTGCCCATGTTTTACTAAGAGTGGAAGGTGATTACTGGTGTGATGTGCCTTGTGAATACCGTGATAAACACAAAAATGATTATTATGTATATTAGTATTATGAGTGACTCCTCCATGCCGATTAGCCTCCTACATATGTCCTTCCCCTGCCAGAATACTGCTTCTGTCAGCTACTTTAAGGTGCACAAACCACATGCTTCCGTAACTTACATTGCTGGTTACAGCTCTCCGTGTCAGCACCGAACACCAAAATGCTCTGAAATTTAATATTTGTCTTCATTTCTCTCTGTCTCTTTCTTTCTCGCTTCACTTCAGGTTGCTTTATTGGCATGACAAATAATGTAGCATTTGTTTTCCCAAAGCTTGAGTTACAAAGTTTGGGAAAATGAAAGAATAATAAGATAACAAATTGAACAATTTAGAGCCATTGTAAAACTGTAAAAAGGGAAAGTGTTCAGATTGTACATTAAACATATCAATATTGCAGCTGGAGGGAAAAATGATAGAAAAACAGTAAGATGCTGGAAAATGGACTAATAGATTTAATAGTAGTAGCACAATGGTTAGGTGTATTTATGTGTATGTGCAAATGTGTATGCATACTCTTAATCTTGCATGCAATACATGCAGTTTCATTCTTGAAGTGCTAGGCAAGAATATATGGTACTGCATTTGTTTTATTCCCCTAGTAGATATGGTCATTTCTTAACATTTGAGATGTTGCTAAATTTGGGATTTTTTCAGTTTTTTTTTAATTATTAATTTTTTTTTATGAGTATTAATCCAAATTGCACCTCGTAAGGTTTGCCTTATAAATGTACAATTTTGTCTCAGTTTGGTTAAATAAATATATCCAGAATTTTCTCTAAAATTTGTGAGCTTTCATGTGCGTTTATACATCACCTCACCAAAACCATGGCCTATTCTAATTGTACCAGCTTGTTTTTTCTTTCTTTTTTTTCCATTTTCTTTCTTTCTTTCAACTCTTCAGATAATGTGCATTACCATTGCATTTTCTTTGTTTAAAGTTAATGTTGGGTCATGTTCTGTGTATATATATATATATATATATATATATATATATACACGTGTGTGTGTGTGTACGCGTGCCGCATGCTTCATTTGCCCTTGGTCTGCATGTCATTGCACAGTAGTTGCATCACAAATCGCCATCCGTTTTTTAAGCACCTGTATCTGTAACGGCTATAAATTCACCCATTTTTTCCCCTCACATAGAACACAGTGGGGAAATCTTAACCAGCTATTGCTTCCACCAAAGATTCAGGGCTTTATCCCAGCTAACACTGTTGCTTGTTTTACTTTGTGTTCTTATGCAGCGTTTGACGTATCCATGGAGTCCTTTACTAATCTGCTACAGTCTCAATTCCACAGTGGACGACTGAGCGATGTTTAGTACTCAGTTGCAAATGATCACTTATTTAGGTATTTCCGCAGTGTATTAGCCACTATTAGTGCAACCAGTGTATGAATGTAGGAATGTAGCATTAGAAGAATGTGGAGCAAGTAACATATCAAATTATAGAAACACATACATGCACAGCTCAAAAAATACTCCTTAACTTGTGTTACAAAATAGCCTTAAAAATGCTTCAAGTGTGATGACTATACTTAATCCCAGAGCTGTGTGTTAGATGTGTGAAGCAGTAATGGCTACTGTTACAACAAACCTGCATCATCATAATGACCTTTTATAAAGGAATTAAAACATTTTTTTTATTTTGTAGGCTTTTTTTTTAAAAAACTTCTTCAGAAAAGTCTTACAATGTACAACAAATGTGATTGCTGATGTAAATAGCTATTAGTATCTCATTATTTTTATTGTGCACAATAGTGAGTGGTGCTTTTGTAATCTTGATTTCCAACAGCTTTATCGAGCATGGCATTTTGTGTCCATGTTGTGCAGCCCTAATAAGCGCAATTCAGTGAGCTACTGTGTGGTAATTTGTCATTTTGGTTTAGAGCAAGACATTAGTGTTCAGTTTGAGCTGATACTGCCCTATGAAAATCTGATTTGAGACCAAGGGTATGTTTCTTAAATACACGCACTTATCTGCTTTAGTCACAATAGGACTGTCATTACTTGGATGAACCTGGCAAATTGGAGCCACACTGCTAAATGTAGCAGCTTTTCCAAAGGTCACTCCCATTAGCAAACAGCCAAAACAGTATCATGTGAATGTACATAGGTGACTGCTCTATGCTTGTATTCACATAGGATTTGTACAGATATTTTCACCTTAATTGCAAGTCTAAGGCAAATGGCATTTTAGCAGGTGTATGCTAGCCAAGTCATTAGCTCTCCTGGTGGTGTTTTAGCGTAATGTCATAGCACGTAATGTCATGTCTCAACTGTATGTCTTACTTATACCCATGAATATGCAATGCATTTTTAAACTTTACATGTTTTTGGCCCATTCTCCCTTTTCCCCTCACTCTCTCTCACTCACACACTGACTTCCTCATGCATGCTTACTCTTTCCCATGGGCTAGAGCTTAAAGTGCTTCATCGACTTGGTTAAAACTCTTTGTCAGAGAATTACCATAACTGTCAGTTCAATTAGCTGATTTCACTCGTGTTCCAACTGTATTGGAAGCTATTTCCTAAGATAGTATTTCCACAAATGAATTGCTTTTGCACCAAGAGTATTTGGTCTGTTTGGCCTACAAGCTATTTGATCTAATTTTAAATGACTTTATGGACTAATCAAGCCTGAAATTGCTTAATTGGATGAATTATCAGAGGATAAATTTTGGGTAGGACAGATTTAAAACCCATGTTAATTCAGCCTCTGCCTTATTCTTTTCTGATTAATTCTCAGTGTCTCTGTAGAAATAGATGGTAGCTCACAAAGGGAATTATCTGGTGCTGATAAACTGTGTAGTTAGCCTTTTCATAAAAAAAGGAGTCAAAACATAAGAATAAAGCTGATAACTGATGTAGTCTTCAGTTGTACTACCCCAAAAACTATAAAATGTCAAGCACTACTCATATCTGTATACATTTTGTGTCTCATATGCCCTGCATATTTATTGTATGATATTTATTGTTGTGCTTTGGGCCTAGTTTTGCACTGTTGTCTACTTATTGTATTGTAATTTCATGTATTGTACTGCACTGCTGTTTTTTAGTTGTAGTAATTTCAGCAAAGGTGGGACATCAAGTGAAGTTTCATTCTGTATTGCTCTTTGAATGACAGGAGCCAATCAGATGTAACTTGCATTAATAATTACTCCAAGAATGCTTTTTATGCGGCACTTGTTTTCTTTTGCTTTGCCTCACGGGTTTGGCCGTGGTTAGAGGTTGAACTCCTGGGGTCGGTTGCTCAGACATAGTCATAACTGCTAAGTCAGTTGTGTTTAAGACCATTTTCAGAGACGGCCTTACAAGCCTCTTTAGTCTGCTTCTCTTTTAAATGCGTTCTATTTTGATAGCTCTGCTTCTAAGTGTCTTAAACACTGATTTTGCTTATGTCCCACTCCTGCTTAGTTCACCCTGTGTGTAGTCTGTGTCTTGGTCTCTTGTACATGGTGTTTTTGCAGTTGTTTTGTGCACTTGTATATGGATAGAGGCACAGTGTGCTTGACTCTGCTTAACTTTTGACTTTGATTTAAATAACCACCTGTCTTCCCCCAACTCTCTGTGTTTTTCAGTGTGGATCTGGTTCACGCTCAGCTACGCGTGTGTGAAGGCCGGAGTCTTCCTGAGCTCGGGCTCAAACAGGACAAGATCAAGATTAACGGCTGCGCCATCCAGTGCCGAGTCACCACTGAGGACCCTGCTCGTGGCTTCCAGCCAGACACCGGCCGTATAGAGGTATGCCTGTCTGAAAGTCAAACAGTTGCAGTAGTGATACCATCCACCTCAAAACTAGATCTGCATGATATGTAAAGAATGCACACTTTATCAGTTTTAGAGTGTACTTTTCACTTTCCAGTCCATACACAACTAAGCTGCAAAACAACCTGTTGTCAGTTCTTTATTTTTGTGATGTCACAAAATGAATGCATTTACATCTGTCCATCCATTTAGACTATAATAGTTTAGTTTCAGCCTGAACTGAAGTTTTTTGAATGCAGCACAACAAAGGTCAACCAGTCAGAACAGAGGTCATTTACATTTATCAGTTCCAAGCAAGCAAAGATGATGGGATATAGTCATGTAAAAATGAATTTTAGTTTTTCCTCAGGAAAAAAACACAAGGAAAAAATATAGGATTCTAGCTCCTTTAGTTTGATGTGGTTTAAGATAGACTTTTATTATTTTCACTAAAAAAATGTTGGACTACCAAGTACAATGACCAAATTACAATTAGAAGTAGGCCATGGCTATAGCAACTGATCTGTACCTCTCGGCTCATACATATATCCATAGCTGAGCTCCAAATTTTATGTCCCACACTGCAGTGAAGGTCCTTTTGCGGTGTTGCCAAACATCCAACTGTCTTACAGTATCTCCTGCCTTGCCATATATTCTCTTTTTCATGCAGCCTTCTGTCTTCCCTTCTCTTTCTATGTCTCTCCCCCTCAAACTAATATAGATGCACACCCACCTCAAGGCTAAATAACTTTATTTGGACAAACCATTAAGCAGTTGAGATTTCTAGACTGTTTTTTTGAGGAGTGCTCTTGCCAAGTTAAGCAAAGCCGGGAGAGGTAAAGAGGGGAAAACTAGCTGTCTGCATAGCCGTGACTGATGAACCTTACAGCAGCAGTTGAGCGTGTTGCTGCATGTTAGCAAGACAACCATACTGCATCATTTCCACTCCTGTCAACCGCTTCTATTTGAAAACGCACTTTCCCTCTGACAGCCCACCTACGATTCTGCTATTGACTGATGGCAAGCTGTTTTCTTTGAAACTGCTTGTGACTCCTAGCTAGTGTGGTACTTTCCATCTTCACAGTAAATTGCATGTATCAGAATATTATTTCTCAAAAATAATTAGCCTTAGTTTCTTTTTGATTTAATTATACCACTGTTATATAACATTGTTGACATTATTCAGAATTTTGTGTGATGAGTTTAATCACTCAAATCCTACTCTGATGTCTGCCCTGAACCAGATAGAAATAAGATTGACTGGTGAAGTTAGAGTTGGATGTGCACTTTGGGTCAATAAGTAGACTTTTCCATGCACACTTGTGTTTCGTGATGAAGAATAAATTATTTATAAAACACATGGAAACACCATTAGTGTTGCGAAGATTTAGTTCTCCTCCCACATTATCTTTTTCCTTCTGAGACTTATTTGTAGGTGTTCAAGAACCATTAGACTAAAAAGCACCATCCAGACCCCGCCAGACTGTCTAGTATCATAGAACCGTCTAATCCTATAGCAACGTAAATCCCAGAACACCATCTATTCCCAGAGCACAATTTAATCCCATAACATCAAAACCCAGAACACCATCTAATCCCAGAGCAATATAATCCCATAGCAACATCAAAACCCAGAGCACCTTCTAGTCCCAGACTACAGTCTAATCCTATAGCAAGATCAAAACCCAAAACACCATCTAGTCCCAGAGTGCAATCTAATCCCATAACAAGATCCAAATCCAGAGCACAGTCTAATCCCATAACAACATCAAAACCCAGAACATCATCTAGTCCCAGAGCACAATTCAATCCCATAACATCAAAACCTAAAGCACACAACACACCATAGTTCAGAGCGCAGTCTAATCCCATAACATCAAAACCCAGAACACCATCTAGTCACAGAACACCATCTAAGGCCAGAGCACAGTCTAATCCCGTAGTAACATCAAAGCCCAGAACTCCATCTAGTCCCAGAGCACAGTCTAAACCATAAAGTCCAAGAGCAAAGCATAGTTAAATCCCATAGCAACAATTTAAGGAAACAAATCATCTAAAGAGCACAATGTAATTGCATAGCACCATCTAAATTCAACAGATCATCCTGCACATCCAACACACCATCTAATCCCACAGCACAAGTCTGATCACACCGCACAGTCTAAACTTCATTGCATCATCTAAACCCAGCACATAGTGTCCCCAGCACAGTTGAATCCCTTAAGGCACTGGTTGAATTGAACGTAGTCTGATTGAGTGATTCCACTGCTGCAGCTGTTCGTTGGATATAATATAATACAGAGCCAGTTTGGATCAATTGTATTGACCTATTTGACCCTTACTGCCCCAGAAGCCCATCACGCAGTTTATAACTTCGCTCTTTTTTCACCAACCTTGGTGGTGAAGATTGTTTTGTTTTTTAACTTGATTATTTTCTCTTGGTTTTATACGTCATGAAGGAGGGAAGAAAGAAAAGAGTTTTCACTTTTGCTCCCAATTTAATCACTAAACCCTCTTCTTCCTGTTACACTACAGTGAACCCTTTTGCAGAACCCATTCATGGACATGCCTGCACAAAAATCGCATCTTTTACACACACTGTCGTGTCCTTTTGACCTGTGGCATCGATTCTTTCTCGTTTCTTCTGTTTCTGCCTCTCCTCACTCCCCCATGTATTCTTCCCTCATTATTGCTTATCTGTGTGTTTCTTTCCCTGCTGTCCCCCTGTGGCATCAATAATGGTTTATTCTACATGAGTATCTGATCACTGGGTCTCATGGGGTGCTCGAATTTCTTCTCTAAGCAGGGGGCGGGGGAGGCACTAAAGCTGGCTCAGTTTCATCCACGAATCTGAGACATTTAAAATCATTTGCTGTATCTAGGAAGATAATCTTGAGTCTGTTAGCATGTGCATATTCGTGATGGTTTTCTCATTAGGATAATCATATGATAATAGCAAGCAGAAGTTAATGAGTCCCACCTTGACCAGTGCTAATTAATCTAATCTAATTTAACACTAATGCGGATTTGATCGTGCATGGTTTCATTCATAGCTACTGGATTTCTTTTATTTCTGCTCAAACAATTACTCCTCATGCTGTCCTCCAATCAAAAATGACTAATTTGTCCCTCCTTTCCCCGCTGACCTCAAGCTTTCCTTTTACCCTCACTTTCTCTTTCTCTCCCCCCTCATTCGCTTCTCTTTGCGCAGATGAGAAAGCAGGGCTGGTAAAGAGCGCAGGTTGTAAATAGAGACATACGCCGGCCATGAAATGTGTATATCTGGAAGAAAAAAAAACATGTCTGAAAAATGCATGGCCGAACAGAATAAATCCTGGGGTGAATGAATAAGTTATGGCTTTGAGTGATCTCAGGAGTTCAAGGAGCACAGCACGCTTTTACAGGGGAAGAGTGGCATCGAGGGATGAGAGGGAGACAGTGAGTGAAAGTGAAAGGGGGAGGGAGTGAGAGTAGGGGGCTAGAAAGAGTGAAAGAGAGAGCAGGGGCTTGAAAGTAGAAAGAGAAAGTAAATGAGAGTAAGAGTAGGTGCTTGAGAAAGATAAGAAACAGAGTATGGTGCTTAAAACACTTTTCTTTTTCTTAATTGCAGACATTTGATAATTAACTTTTTTTCTCTCTTGTTAAATGCTACATGCATATATCAGATTATTTTATATGTTTGATAATTGACATTTTCTCTTTGGTGTTATATATGTATCTTTTATTTAACTTTTAGGGAGAAAATTGTTGCAGTGCTTTGAAAATACAAATGTAATTTTGTCATAGCAATAAAGCAAACTTGAACTTGAGTGAGAGTTAGTGGGGCTAGAAAGAGACACAGACAGTAAAGAGTCTAGGGACAGAAAGAGTGTGAGACTAGAAAGAGACAGAGAAAATGAGGGAGAGACAGTAGGGGGTTAGAAACAAAGAGTCTAAGAACTGAGAGAGTAAGTAAGAGAGAGTAGGGGCTAAAATGAAAGTGCGCCAAAGAATATGGGGACAGAAAGAAAGGAAGAGAAAGAGAAAAGGGGCTACGGCGAGAGCGAGAGAGAATGGGTTGGCTAGAAAGAGTGTGAGCGAGGGGGAGTAGAAAGGAGGGGAAGAGAGAGGAGGCCTCATTTTCTGTCTGTGCTGTTGAGCTAAAAAGCTCTTAAATGTCTGCCTGGCACTGAGGTCATTAGTGCTCAGTGTTGTTGGAGCGAGGGAAGTGAAAGATGTGGGGAGTGGGGGGGGTCTCAGGGTACAGTATGCAGAGAGGCTGCTTTCTGTGTTATGGATAAGGAGAGATGGATGGATGAGTGCTGGATGGATGAATGGCATGGAGGAGAGAGGCAGATGCAGACAGTGATGTATTAGGGACATGTTGATGGATAGATCAATAGATAGAAACGCTGTGAACTGCTGCCTCTATGCGTCAAACACAAACACACTCTGTATATGATCAGGTTACCTCTGCTAGTCCGGCCTTCCTCATCGCTTCTCTTACTCTTTTGTTGTGTTTTGGTCATTATTTCAGTTGTTTTCTTGCCACACCCTCAAATCAGTCTCTCTCTCTCTCTCTCTCTCTCCCTCTCTCTCTCTCTCTCTCCCTCTCTCTCCCTCTCTCTCCCTCTCTTTCTCTCTCTCTCTCTCTCCCTCTCTCTCTCTCTCTCTCCCTCTCTTTCTCTCTCTCTCTCTCTCCCTCTCTCTCTCTCTCTCTCTCTCTCTCTCTCTCTCTCTCTCTCTCCTTCACTAGTGCTCTCTCTAACATTGCCTCTTTTTATCTCTCTCTTTGTTTCTTTTGTATTTTGTCTCTTTTTCTGTCTCTGTCTCAGTTCAAGGCAGCTATTATAAAAACAACAGTAATAATAAACAAAAGAAGTGCATTTCCTGAAGAAAAGCCAGAGTGATTGTTCAGCTAACGCAGCTCACAGGCAGTTGCTGGGGTAGTTTAGGTGACTGATTAACTGGTTGCTATGCTATCCCAGCTGGTTACTAAGGTGGTGTTAAGTGGATTG